TTCTTTCACTAGGTCATCCCCTTGGTACACTAAGGAATTGCGGGCTCTCAAAGTGGAGGAAAGGAAGTTTGAGCGCTTATATAAAAAATCTGGTCTTACTGTCCATAGGTTGATGTTTGATGAGCAGCGGTTGAAGTATCATCTTGCCCTTGATTCCGCCAGAAAGATGTACTATTCACACATGATTAATGAAAGTGTTGATAACCCAAGAAAGTGGTTTAAAACAATTAACTGGTTTTTGAAGCCTCGTAATCAAAACATGAGTCCTTCTGTTGAGTTGTGCGACAAATTTCATAAGTATTTTACTGAGAAAGTTCAAGATATCCACAATTCCATGCTTGCTGGTTCTTCACTGCTGACCAATGAGTTCCACCCTACAAATTTGTCATTTAATTTTTCAAATTTTGAAATTGTTGGTTCAGATGATATTTTGAAACTGGTCATGTCTATGAATCCATCTACGTGCCTTCCTGATCCTATGCCTATTGAGGTGTTGAAACCGTGTGCAACATTCCTGGGTCCCTCTATTACTGCAATCATTAACACCTCTCTATCTACTGGAAAGGTTTCCTCAGTCCTCAAGCTAGCTGCCATTACACCAGTTCTTAAAAAGACTGGTTCTAATGTAGAGGATTTGTCAAACTACAGGCCTATCGCTCATCTTCCATTTTTGGCTAAGGTTCTTGAACGAGTTGTTGCCGGCCAGTTACAACAATACCTGTCCATAAACAATATCCTAGAACCCTTTCAATCTGGATTTAGATCAGGTCATAGCACTGAGACTGCTCTAGTCCGGGTTATAAATGATCTTCTTATTTCTGCTGACATGGGGGCTTGTAGTATTTTACTCCTGTTAGAAATTACTGCTGCTTTTGACACAATATCTCATGCTGTCCTTCTTGAAAGATTGCATACATGGTTAGGCATCTCTGGTATTGCACTCGAATGGTTCAAATCTTATCTTACAAATCGCTTTCAATTTATCCGTTTGGGTAAATGTCAGTCTGAACCAACATTAGTGCAGCAGGGAGTTCCGCAGGGATCTGTACTTGGGCCTATCCTGTTTAGTATTTATATGTTGCCTCTGGGCCAGATCATTCGCAAGTTTGGGTAAGAGTTTATGCCGATGATACTCAGATCTATCTCAGCACGCACCCTAATCCTAATCTTGCAGTTACAACACTTACTGCTTGCTTGGGCGAGATAAAAGCCTGGTTGCACATTAATTTTCTCATGCTCAATGAGTCAAAAACAGAACTTTTGTGTATCGGTAAGCCAGCGGCTTTACATAAATTAAATAGTTCTAAAGTGATTACTGATTGTGGCTTCGATACTCTATCCACCCAAGTACGAAATCTCAATTATTGTTCGATGCCCATATCAAAATAATTTCAATTTTTAATTTAAGAAACATTGCAAGACTCCGTCCTTTTCTATCATTGCCTGATGCAGAAAGGCTCATCCATGCCTTTATTACTTCGAGGCTTGATTACAGCAATGCACTTTATGTTGGTCTCCCTGATAAGTCTATTAAGAAATTACAATATATTCAGAATTCAGCTGCTCGGGTACTAACGTATACAACTGCCCGTCAACATATTACTCCGGTACTGCAAAACTTGCATTGGCTTCCTATTCAAGCCCGTATCGATTTTAAAATCCTGATCTTAACTTATAAAGCTATTCATCGGACTGCCCCTTCCTATATATCCAGTTTAGTTGCTCCTTATACTCCCGCTCGCCCTTTGCGCTCAGCTGGGTTGTGTATCCTTCAGCAGCCTGCATATAAATTCCTTCAGAAAATTTGGCTTGTACTGTACCTGATATATATCCAAAATAATCCATACTGAATCGAATCGAAATCAGAATTCAATCGCATTGCGAGCTTGTGAATGAAAATCGAATCGAATCATGAAATTTGTGTCAAAACCCAGCCCTAATATTTATATACTATTGTATCATATATTCATATTTTAAATGAGCTTTTATGTATTTATTTTATATTTTATAATTGTACTTTAAGTTCTAGTTAAACACTTTTGTTTTAATTTTAGTTTAGTTTTGTGCTCTTGTCATTTTTATTTTTATTTTTTTAATTCTATTTAACTGTATTTTATTTAAGTATTAGTAATTTAAGTACTTCTACTTAAACTTTATTTCAGTTAGTTGCCAAGGCAACATTTCTCATTTTTTAAATGTAAAAAATGTTTAATGTTCACAAAAAAGTTATAGTTTCCAGTGTTTTTTTTACCCTTGTATTTAAAAAAATAAGGTTGACGTTTCACTTTGTTTATTATCGTGTTTATTGACGTATCTTGTTCTTCTGACTGTGTTTTGTATTTGTTGTAAAGCATTTTGAGAAAGCAATTTTTATAGGTGCTATATAAAATATAATTATTGATTGATTTATTGAAGATGTTGTTTTAAAACGATCATATTATGATGTGATAATGTGATCCACACAGACACACAGACACACAGACACACAGACAGACACACAAACACACACACAGAGACAGACACACAAACACACACACAGAGACACACACAGAGACACACACAGAGACACACACAGAGACACACACACAGACAGACACACAGACAGACACACAGAACACTCACACACACACACACACACACATACGTATGCAGGTGCTCATATGACCTCTGCCCTGTTCCTGCAGGACTGCCGTCGGCTCCGCGCAGCATCGTCTATCAGATTAATGATACGGTGGTGACGCTGGAGTGGTCGGAGCCGCTGGACCGCGGCGGGCGCTCGGATCTGTCCTACAGCGTGGAGTGTGTGCGCTGCAGAGGCTCCACCTGCGTCCCGTGCGCAGACAGCGTCACCTACAGGCCGGGGCAGGTGGGCGTGGCCGGGAGGCGGGTCATCATCCGCGGACTCCTCCCACACACCACCTACACCTTCACCGTCATCGCCCAGAACGGAGTGAGCGCTGTCAGTCACACAAGCCCCGCCTCCAGCTCCGTCAACATCACCACCAGCAGAGACGGTCAGTGGATCACGGTGACATGTCAACACACTCGTAACAACCATAACCATAACTATCACCATACAGCTTTACTAATCACTCTAACTTCACATAACTACAGTGAGAACTGCTTTAGTAATCGTATTAACTATTAATGGGAAGTTCGCACTAACATTTATCGTTATGGTTATCATTATCGTTATAGTTATAATTATCGTTATAGTTATCATTATTGTTATAGTTATCGTTATAGTTATCATTATTGTTATAGTTATCGTTATAGTTATCATTATTGTTATAGATAACGTTATAGCTCCATGCTTGGGCCAGCCTTGCTTATCATTACAGTTATCATTAAAGCTACCATTATAGTTATGATTATATACTGAACAAAATTATAAACGCAACACTTTTGTTGCTAATTAGACAGCATGATAATTGCACAGGTGTGCCTTAGGCTGGCCACAATAAAAGTTTTATCACAGCACAATGCCACAGATGTCGCAAGTTTTGAGGGAGCGTGCAATTGGCATGCTGACTGCAGAAATGTCCACCAGAGCTGTTGCCCGTGAATTGAATGTTCATTTCTCTACCATAAGCCGTCTCCAAAGGTGTTTCAGAGAATTTAGCAGTACATCCAACCGGCCTCACAAGTGTTGTGTATATAATTTTGTTCAGTGTAGTTCTGAAGTGTGTGTGTGTGCGTGCAGTGGCCGTTCCAGTGTCCGGCATCAGGAGGACTAAAGCGTCTGAGAGCAGCGTCTCCATCAGCTGGACGGTTCCTCCGCAGACGCAGCACAGCATTCAGGAGTATCAGCTGCGCTACAGTCTGAAGGTGAGACGGACACACATCTGCAGCGACACCTGCTTTGTGTGTGTGTGTGTTCCACCTGTACCTGACCTCTGACCTGTGTGCTGTAGGATCAGGATGATGGATGGCAGTACGTCAGCAGTAAAACCAACTCTGTGGTTCTGAATGATCTGACCCGCGCGTCACAGTACCAGGTGCAGGTCAGAGCCAGAACCGCCGCGGGATACGGACACTTCAGCCCTGCCGCCAACATCAGCACATTACCTGATGGTACACACACACACACACACACACACAGGTTTGTTTTTGTGAAAAGTGGGGACTCTCCATAGGCGTAATGGTTTTTATACTGTACAGACCGTATATTCTATTGTCCTACACCAACCCTACCCCTAAACCTACCCCTCACAGGAGACTTTCTGCTATTTCAGATTTTCAATACACTCCATTCTGTGTGATTTATAAGCGTTTTGAAAAGTGGGGACATGGGGTAATGTCCTGAAAAGTCACCTTCTCCTTGTAATACCTGTCATACCTTTGTCATTATACACATTTATGTCCTCATTTGTCACAAAAACGCGCACACACACTCACACACACAAAGAGAACAATATATAAAACTTTTGTAACACTTTTCAATAAGGTTTTAGTTTTTAACATTATATAAGTTAACATGAACAATATTTATATAGTATTTATTCTCTTATGAATCTAACTGTGTCTCTCTCAGATGAAGAATCTCCGTCGCGGCTGTTACTCACCGGTGTCCTGGTTGCTATAGGATTGCTCATTCTCATCGCCGTGGTGATCGTTGCCGTGTTCTGCTTCAGGTGAGATCTGATTGGTGCTTGAATGAGGGGGCGATGCCAGTGCTTTGGTTTAAAAGAACTATGTGCACTCACTATGTAGTGAACGAGTGATTTCAGACACAGACTGTTTGCATTTGTCCACTGTGTGTGAGTGAGTGAGTCTGTGCGTGTGCGTGTGTGTGTGCGTGTGCGTGTGCGTGTGTGTGTGCGTGTGTGTGTCTGACTGTGTGTGTGTGTGTGTGTGTGTCTGTGAGTGTGAGTGTCTGTGAGTGTGTGCGCGTGTGTGTCTGTGACTGTGTGTGTGTGTATCTGTGAGTGTGTGTGCGTGTGTGTGACTGTGTGAGTGAGTGAGTGAGTGAGTGAGTGAGTGGGTGGGTGGGTGGGTGTGCGTGTGCGT